AGATGGAGCTTGGCCATTTCAGGCTTTACATGTGAGAGGGAGGATTTTAAATTTTATTCTAGTTCAAAAACCTGACGTTTTTGTTTGTGTGAGCCTTTGTGTCGATAAACTGTCTAGATCGCATCCCAGATCTCATGATATAACAGCTTAAGGTAGGCCCCAAACCTCTCCACTCTGCATGGATGAGTGGGTTTCCAATATGAATGGACGGGTTATCATAGCTCATGGCGATAAAACCTGCATATTCTACTTAAACAATGTTACTCAACCATCTCTCTGATACAGTTGTCCAAAGACAAGGAAACCCTTGAGCAGTTACCATAGCCTGTTTACTTCTCTTTCTTACAAACACTTTTAACAAACAGACTGAATGTAACGACCGTGTTCATATTTAACTGTGTCTGTTTGTTCTGCGGTGTTTTTATTCTTCAGCTTGTCATCACTTACTGTAACCCTGCATAATTTAGTGAAACTGTCAGCTGTGATCTATCAGCACAGAGTAAAAAAAACAAACAAAGCTAAGCTCAGACATGACATGTTTCTAATTATAGGATGCCTAGATTGTTCAAACGTCTTAAACAATTGCTATCTGCCAAGATCAACATGGTAAAAAATGCCACCCACTTGGTTCATAAAAAAACATCTGAAACAGATGATATCCTGTTTGACCACTTTGTGGAACAGGAGATCCTGATAGGGCAGTTAAACCTACTTTACTGAATTCTCGTAAAGAGAGCTGACTCATCAGGGGTGAGAATTGTTTCAAAAGCTGATCCTAAAGAAGATATTTGTATTTTTATGCTTGAAAACAGAGATTTTGCAAAGTTGCAGACAGGGTTTGAAGATTTTGTTTTGTTACTCTGAACAATGAGCTTTTAGAAACCTGAGCCTAACTACACGTGTATTCATAATAATTTAGTTCTCTGCTCCACTTGCTAATGTTCAGTTAATTAAACCTTTGGGTATGACAATAGGTGCTTGATTGCATATCAGAATGAGGAAATATGAGGATCTAAAATATCTGAGCATTAACAAGCAGATGGTGGACATCTGTAGATATTTAGCAATGAAAGCATCATTGTTTCATTCTTAATATCTAAATGAGCAGGAGGACAAACTGGTTTATGATTTAAAGCTAAATTAATAAAACAAAGTTGTGATGTCAGAGACAAGTAATAAAAAAAACACGTGTAATGCATTTAACCACATTTCTTTGATGCCTCCTTTACTTCTCTGTTTATTTGTTTTTTTTAAGGTCCCTCCCTGACCGATCACTGATTGGCTATGAGCTAATAAAAATGGTATAAAACATTTTTTTTTTAAATATGTGTCCCTTCATCTGGAATGACTACCATGACCACTAAAAAGAGTCAGAGGCAACCACAAGTTCTGAGGAAAATCAAAAAGAAGAGCCAGAAATGGTGAAAATGCACACGTGCTTGTAACTGGGTCATGAAGGATCTGGCGCATCTCAAGGAAGTATTGTGTGAGACATGAAAGCAAACCTGTAGAGGTCAGCAGTGCATTGCAGGAAACACAGAGAAAAAAAACAAAACATGCAGACATTTATACCTAATGCCAATTTATAGTGACCAACTAACCAAACAGTCACGTTTTAGTGTTGCAGGACAACAGACAAATAACAAATGCCTGGATTCAAAACCTAAGATAACAGTGATAATCCTCCACATAGCTCTAGAAGAACGGGGAAGTTATTTGTTTTTCTAAAGTTAGAAAGAACAAGAAAAACATTCTTCTGGCAAGGACATTTCATACCTGACAATAACACTAGGTTTATCCTACCACTTCATATGCCTATGATACATTTTAGGCATGCAAGAAAAAACCTCATACAAGAACTCTTAGACCAGGGCTGCAAAAATCAAATCATATAAATGAGTTTTAGTGCCCCTGGAGAAAGTACAAATGCATCTGTTTTTTGTGGAGCATGTAAAGCTTGTGGGCTTTGAAAGGATCCTGCACCTCACACATATAACAACGCTGCATATCTGTGAAGACCATATGCACAAGTGAGGCAGACAAGTAGTAGCTACAGAGGCTCGAGAAAATCATTGACCACCTTAAAATCCTAAACACCAGTTGTTCCCCTGCTGCCCTCCAGGTGATGCTACAAGTCAAGTAGTAAAAGCTGAGGAACTGCAAAGACACAGTAATCACAATGCTTATTGTGCATATTTTAAGTTCTGTGGGTATTATTTATGTGTACTTGCATCATATATATATATACATATATACATATAGAGCTATAAATGTAAAATACAGGTACTAAGAATATTATATACAGGTTGGTAGACCTCAGATGCATAACTGTGTTCAACTTGTATCCTTATTATCTCTGTCAAAGCAGCCATTTCTTTTAATCCTTTATTCCTTATTGTCAGGTTAAAA